ATAATCTCCTGCCCTCTCCAGTGCTTTCATCTAGTTACCCTGTTGAGATGGCTGGCTGGCTGATAGAGTGGGGTTATTTTTTCCTTGCTGATGCGAGAAAAGGTAACAGCTGAAGTGAAACCTTGAATGAAATGGAAACAAGAATGCAGCACATTACATCTGAGCATTTGTAAAGTTGGATAGATTTGTTAAAGTATTATGTATCTCCAATGAAGTATTCTCTCATTTGTTTGGTAAGTGCCACAGCTGAAGCTCCAGAGATTTGGGCTAGATTTAGCCTAATTGCAAGGCAACACCTTTGTAAAATAGGTAATGAAGTCTGATAAAACCTTGAGTGCATTTCTGACAAGCTGCCTGCAGGCTGGCTGGGGGCAAGTCACTGCTGCTCCTGCCCTGCTTAGGTGGCTTTTGTCAGGTTACGGAATTGCTTTGTGCCTCAGTTTCCCCACCTTTAAACAGGCATTGGTGATCCTGTCCTCTCCTTGTAAGTCCTTGGGGTCTGTTGCTGTGGGGTGTTGCATGTGAGCTAGTGATGTTGTTTTGCCAATAGCAGCATCTTACATGTGTTAGTGTAGCATTTTCACAGTGCTTTATGGGGTTTGACATGCCCTTTAATTCTCCTCTTTGCCTTTTCCTCCTGCATTTTAAATTTAGAATCGATCTCAAAGGGCTTTTTTCCTTTCCTGTTTTCCCTCATCTTTTTTTTTTTTTGTTTCGTCCTATAGAATAACTTTCCTCTGTTTCTTCTGTCCCTCCATGTTTGTTTTCCCCTTATATCCTGCATGTTCTTTCTGCTAGTCGTTTCTTTTGTTCACCCGTGCCTTCCTCTTGCTGTTCTTGTGTGTCTTCAGAGCGTCATTTTCTCTCCTCTTCATCCGCTGGGATTTCCTTTTCACCTGACTCATCCCCTCGGTACATCCCCACTCAGTCACGTTCTCCTTGCGCTTCTGTTACAGGAAACCCATCCAGCAGGGGAGGGGACCGCCTGTTCGTCCCCTCTCGGGGCAGATCCACTGAAGTCATGGCTCCCTTCCCACTCGCCTACCGCATCCCACAGCGCCTGGGCGAGGCTGGCGGAGCGGGGGGGAGGGTTTGGGCAAAGACTGCCTGCGCGGGGGCGTCGGGGAGCCCGTTATTCCCTGCTCTCCTTTCTCCATACCCGGCTTTTGCAGCGGGGCCAGGAGGTTTCCTGCTTCCTCCCACGTGCTGGGGAGGCGGCGAGGGGCCAGTTGTCCTACTGGAATGTTGGCAGGAAACCTCCCGGCCCCGCTGCAAAAGACCCTGGACCGAGCGCTGTAGCCTCCAGAGCGGTTGCGCCGGAGCAGCCGGTTGCTGCAGGGAGGCGCGGCAGCGGGGGCGGCAGCAGCAGTCAGAGCAGGGAAATGAGACGGGTGACTCCAGGCAAGGTGAACGATTTCAGAACAGGAAGGGGGGGGGGGGCGTTTCACATCTGCAGTCTGCTTGCACTTCAGCGTCCTTACTGTAATTACCACTGCACTAGCTAGTCCTGCAGGCAGAGAGAGAGAGAGGATCTCTCTGCTAAGCTCTATGTTTAAGATCTAATCGTGCTCCTGTACTTCGAGCTTCTGTGGTAAATGCTCTTGCTCAAGCACAATGAGGGAAAGGAAAATATATGGTGTAGTTCCCTTTTCTAGTTGGTTTTCCACCAACGGCACAAAGGAAAAATGACAAAACCCCAAATCCTCCTTTCTTATATAATTAGTAATTGTTATTCTGTTTTAACTTGTTTTGATGGAATAATTACATCAGCATTTCTTTAGTCCTTGGGGTTTGATGTGCTGAGCTTTTTTTTTTTAATCGGTTAATTTTAATTTTTTTCCTAATAGACATTCAAGCCCTTGGTTGGAAAAAGTGTATACAATTCAATTACTGCAGTAGAATTCCTTGTGGACAAACAGCTGGATTTTATAACTGATGATAGTGCCTTTCAGCCCTATCAGGTAAGAAACGTATTACTGTATAAGTACTTTACATTTGGCTTAGTTAAAATCCATGTGTTTATTATTTTTAAGTGTGTTTTGTGATTAAATTCTGTTATGGGAATAATGTTCTCTTGGTTATTGGCAGAGATTATTGCTCATTTTGTGAAAGATTATAACCTGTACTGTATCTGAGACTAGTGAATCTGATCATGTCAAAGAGTACTGTGAAACTGATGTTATTGAACCACCTTTAAGTAAAACACCTGACTCCTTTAAAGGTTAAGCAGTACCATTAGTTGTAGAGCAGATGAAAGATAGTATCCTCCCTTCTGAAGTTGGGCTTTCATTTCTAGGTCTTTGCAGTAATACAGTGGTATCTGATTTACTAGGGTTGTTGTTTTTTTTCGAGAATGAATAGCAGAAAATGTGAATTTTTACAAAGAAAAAAGACTTTCTTTTGCTGTTGTTTCTAAGCATGCTAAAATTTCCAGTAGCCTTGATTTTAATGCCTTTTTCATTAATTAGAAACATGTTAATGTATTAGCTTGTGTATTTAAAGAATAAGAGATTATTCTCTCCCCCACCTTTTCAGAAGGAGGTTTAAAAATCTTTTCTCTGACATAAGAAAAACATTTGATACATTTCAGCTTGTGCTGAAACTGATTTCAACTTGAATAGCCATAATTTTTTTCTTATGGCTTGGATGGTACGCTGCGGTGGTACAGAAATAGTACTTTAAGACTTGGAATAACAGATGGCCCTGAATAAATGCTATGTAATTTTGTCCCGACACCCCTTCTTCCCTTCTGCTTCACGAAGATGTTGTTTTTTTCCCCAGTACCAAATATAGAGTTAGAAAAAGAGAAGCGACTGAGAGAGAATCCTGGGCAAAGGAGAGAGAGGTTCAGTTTGTGGAAGGGCTGGTGCTCTTGTGTGTTGCTGGTAGGGAAGCCAAATGAGTTCAACGGTTTTTGTCAGGGTGAGGTTATGTGCTGTGGCTCAAGCTGCTCAAACAGCTTGGCTCTGCCGCAAAGGACGTTTCCTACTACTGGACCGCACACTAGGTGCCTTCAGTGTTTTAAACCAGCACAACCTTGCTTTTTAAAAACGGGGGTGGGAGAAAGCTTGTGATGTTAGTGAGCTGAGCTGGGGATTAGTCCAGGGTGCAGCAAGTGCTGTGGCTTCCTCTAGGGAGGGGTTAGGATGATGCAACGCAGAGTGGGATATCCTCCTTTGGCAGCAGTGACCTCTTAAATCAGCTGTGCTGTGAAGTGTAAATTCATCTTCAGAGTTCAGCCGGAATCTTCCAGATGCATTTTAAAAAGCAAATACTTGCGCTAGCGTCTGTCCTTTGCCTGAAATTTATCAAGATCATGTCTCTGATAACATTTGTTCCAGTAACAGTAATCAATCTCTTCTTGGCAATCTCCTTTTGGTTCCTTGCAAGATGAGCTGAGTAAAACAAATTGAATGTATGAGAAGGACCGCCTTTTGTAAAATAATCCTGTTGTCCAGGCCTGGCTGGCAGTAACATAGCTGTGCTATATGCATTTTAGGCCCTTCACTTCAAGGAGTATTTACTGATACAGTATTAGACATAGAAGCACCTTAATTTGGGAGGTGCCTACAAACGGAGGTTGTCATCTTTGAAAACGTGTCATGTGAACAACTGGCTTTATAGTGTCATGGTAAATAATACTGTATTTAACAGCATAAGCACTTCAGTTTTAAAGGAGGTGTTGACCAGTTCCTGGTACAAAGCAGTAGCTTATGAAAAATAGTTCCAGATACAAGCTCGGTCTCCCTAACTCTTGGCCTCCATTTTTGATATGTTGGGAGCAACTTTGTGTGAGAGGAGGTTGTGTCCCCCTCTCATTGACCAAACAAGTACCTATTAAAGCCTAAGATGGAGGATAGTGTTCTGTATCAAAAGTAGTTTGGTGACCTCACTTGGAGTGTGGTGTGCAGTTCTGGTGTCCTCAACATAAAAAGGACATGGATCTGTTGGAACAAGTCCGGAGGAGAGCCACGAGGATGATCAGGGGACTGGAGCACCTCCCATATGAAGATAGGCTGAGAAAGTTGGGGCTGTTCAGCCTGGAGAAGAGAAGGCTGAGTGGAGACCTCATAGCAGCCTTCCAGTATCTGAAGGGGGCCTCTAGGGATGCTGGGGAGGGCCTCTTCATTAGGAACTGTAGTGGTAGGACAAGGGGTAACAGGTTAAAACTTAAACAAGGGAAGTTTAGATTGGATATAAGGAGGAAATTCTTTCCTGTTAGGGTGGTGAGGCACTGGAATGGGTTGCCCAGGGAGGTTGTGAATGCTCCATTCCTGGCAGTGTTCAAGGCCAGGTTGGGTGAGGCCTTGGATGATACGGTTTAGTGTGAGGTGTCCCTGCCCATGGCGGTGGGATTGGAACTTGATGATCTTAAGGTCCTTTCCAACCCTAACTATTCTATGATTCTATGACAAGAGGGACCTAAACTGTTCGTTTTAACATTAGGAGGAGGTTGTTGACAGAGATTCCTTTAAAGTACTAAGGCATCCAAAATTTGCATCTTAACTCGATATTGGACACATTGAATGTAGAAATGTAATAAAATTGAGCTCTCTGATGAACAGTGCAAAGATTTATTTGAAGGGTTATAAGTTTTAGAAATACCTCGTGTAGACATGTTTGCAGTGCTAGCAGTGTCTCACTGCAGAGTTCTACAAGTTAATTGTACATATAAGACCTTTACTGAGTGATAATGTCCTTAAGAGAACAGAAACTTTTTTAAACATGCTAACTGAATTATGTACCAGCAGTGTATTAAATGGAAATACAAACTTGATCATTATAAGACTGTTTTCTTCTGAAGTGGGAGGATCATCTGCATTCATTTGTTTTGCTTGTTATTTTTTGTTAATGCTGGAAATCATATTTCTAGCCTTTGCTCACTTAATGTAAGGTAGTTTTTGCATATACCTTTTCTTCTTGAAAAGTTTCCTTTCTTTGCCAACAAAACAGGTCCTAAATAATTTTTTTTTTTTTTTGTAAAATTCCTGAAAAAAATCTGCTTTTCTAAAAAGAGAAAAGAAAAAGTTCTTTTTACTCCCTTGTTAGGTCTGGAATACAGCTAACCTGCTTTAGCGCAGAAGACAGAACTAAGGAGCCGTTCTTTGCAGAGATGAATTAACTTTGAGTGTTTCTAAATGTGTTTAGTTTTTGATGTGGCTTGCACATTTTCAATATGAAGTCCATATAGACCATGGTGAGCTAAACACTTTTTTAACTGCATTTTGCTGTTAGTGCCTAAAATTCCAGTACCTTTCTGCCAAAACAAACAAAGATGAATATATGTGGGAAGACTCCATTTCACTTCAGATACAATTCTTAACTACTGAGTAAGTTTTCCATTGTTGCGTATACTTGTAATACTAGTAATGGGCAGCAGATGAGCGTTTGGTATGAATTCTGCTCAGATCAGTTCTCATAAGAAACGAAGTGCTGTTTAACATAACTATTGGGCTAAAGGGCTTCATGAATTAGGTGGTGCTATCATTAAAAGGTGACAGCTGCTCAAGGCAAAGAAAAGAGCACACTTGGCATCCTTTTAGTCTTGGCAGGAAAAACAAAGCTTGAATAGGCAAAGAACTAAATTACTGTCGTTACCAGAAGTGGTTCTTCCAGAACAAGAGTAAAGAAACCTTGGCAGGATTCGCTGGAGAATCCTGAACCATGGATTCCCATGCCATATCTGCGCTTCGCATAAATAGACATGTTTCAACTGTTAAGAGATTGAACAACCTTCACAAGAGCTAGATGAATGTCATTATTAAAAGTAGGGTATGGAGCTGCATTGTATGAGCCTTTTCCCATTTTTCATCACAAGGTTTTCCAAAGCAAGTATTACACTTGTAAGTTTATTCTTTACAGATAAATGTTACCTGATTTTACTTTTCCTTACATGTGTACTGCTTTGACTCCCACCCTTTGCTGTAAAAATTCCTTGGATCCTGTATGTGTGGTACCTCTAACACCAACCTACAACTTGTTTCCGGTGGCTTTTATCTCTGTTGCTTCATAGAGAATACAAATGGTGTTATTCTCGCCGTGGAACTTGTGTGTGACTGGGAGTGACTCATTCATAAATCTGGAATGGTCAGACCATTTAGTCATGTAGTTCTTTTTATGGTGGTGGTGATGCAGAGGGTTGACCAATGTACAGGGGGGTTGTACAGGGGGGTTAGAGGAATTTACTTGTGTTAGAGGCATTTACTTGTGTTAGAGGAATTTACTTGCCTAGACAAGGTATTGTCTGTTGTAAGTGCTTACTAAGCAGAACAAAGACACCAAGTCCTATTGATAAGCAAAAGCAGGCACCTGGTCGTATTGATAAGCAGACACCTGATTATAATGATAAGTAGCTATTGATAAGGAAAAGCAGGCGCCGGATACGGGAAGAAGCAGATGGTTTATGGCTGGGGCACCGACCAAACCCTAAGGCCATATGTGTAAAGACTAAAAGGTGACAAGTTCAAGAAGAGGAAGACTCATTTACTTCATCTTGAAGACCCCTACCCACAGGAGGAAGACTCATTTACTTCATCTTGAGACCCCTGCCCATGACCAGAGGGGGCACTGCGCAGGCGCAGAGGACTTTCTAGGTCATTATAATACGAAGCGGGGATAGAATATGAATATGTATAGGCGTATTGTGCAACCTGGTAACTTTAGAGGATAAATGTAGAGGGAAACAACACTGAGGCACGCATGACTTTTGGAGGACCAATCCCCCGTGCGTCTTCAGCTGAATAAAGCATACCTACTTTACAACTTTAACCAAGTTGTGGAGTCTATTCCGCTATCAGTGGCAAGGGGATCTTGACGGTAAAGGAGACAGGAACATTTGCCATAGTACTTTGCTTTGCAGTGAAATGAAAATTCCGTTCTTCTGCAGGAAATGATAGACAAAATTTACAACATGCGTTTTCTGTGTCAGATTAGTATCTGTAGAAAACGTAGTGTTGAAATGGGATGTGTAAGTCAAATCCTTATTTTTTTCTGCTTTGCATTCTAAATATATTATGCATATTTTGTAAGTAAAAATTGACTTGGGGTTTATAGTGGCTCTTGTTACAGACTGAAAATGAACACACTTTCAAATACATGTTAATACAATATTTTAAGCAAAACTATAGTAAGCCTTCACAAATACAGCTGTGACCTAACTCAAATAATTAGAACTGAAATGGTTTATGTAATAACAAGTTACATGTACTATTAAGACATCTCTTTTGTTTGTTATGGTACATATAGTAAGTTAAGCAGCAGCAAAGCTGATCATGCCTTAATTTGTTTAAGCATTGTAGTTTACTTGAAGGACTATAGATGGGGATGTAAAGTGTTAAAGATCAGCATATGGTACATGTGACCTCATCAGTGTGATGTTTTTGTCTGGGTGGTGTTTGTCAGTACCAGTCATGGGCACTGTCAGGCTGAAGTGTGATTCTGCTGTTACTGGTTGAAGCAGCTGGAGTCAACTGCATTATACTTTGAACAAGAAAATAAAGAATAACGAAGTGGTTTACGTTATGTTTTTCCATTATAAAATGCTTATGGAAAGTGTATTTATTTCCACTTTAGGGAAAGACCCAGAAAGACTCTGCTTTTCTCAAGCAGTGAGTGAATTTCAGCTGTGTGTCTGGGTCAGGCAGAGCAGGGTGTGTGATGTGTATATATTTCCAAATATATAACCTAATACATATGCATTTATTTCATATGTGTGTGATAATATATTTCTAAAGGATTTGTGACCATACAGCACTGGAACAAATGTGCACAGCTGAGACAGGGCAAAGAATACAAATTTCCGTCACAGTCATGAAACTTCCTGCAAAGAGGCTTTTTGACCACTCAAGGAAGAAAGTGGAAGTGTGTCTGCAGTCTTCAAAAAGTCCTCCTGCATACTGGGTTTAAAAAAACCCAACCAAACAACAACAACAAAAATGCAACCAAAACCCCAACCCTTCTAGGAATGAATCAGACCCATGTTTCTGTTCTTCTGTATTCACATTCTCCTTTGGAACAACTTTTTTAAGACAAAGCTCATTGCCTTAGTGTTTCAAAATGGTAAGGTCTGTCTGCCTACCTGTTTGCTGAAGGTTGCAAATGTAAAGATAGGGCACTGAGAAATCCCCTGTGGGAGGTGTTAGATGCAGCGTTTGTACTTTGCTCTCTTTCTAAACATGTATTGCATGTCTGAGATCTGACAGGTCAAATGTCTAACACACCTTAAAATTGTCAAAAGTAGTAATAAACTTTTTCACTGATCGTGAAATAGGTACCTCAGATTGGCAATCTAATACTGTGCTAATCTTACTTGATCTGTTACAAATTCAAGTTCTACATGCCATGAAGTGTAAGGATTGAGAAAAGAGCATTGTGCAACTCTGCTACTCTCATTTTCTGTTATGGGCAGACATTGGGCATTTCAGGCCTGTGTGCTTTTGGGTTTCGTGAATTGTTTGCTCATGAAGAGCAAGCTGATTGTGTAGCAGGGCTTGTGTAGTATTGACATGTGCCCATAAAAAAAATACTTATAAATGTCTTGAAACAGGGATAAATAATATTTTTCTGCCTGTACTTTGAGCACCCCATAATCATATGTGCACTTATCTTTCAGACTTCTCTTTAAACTTAAGGCTTAAAAATAGCAACTGCAGCTGAAAATTGCTTTTCCTGTAAGCTTGTACCTCCAGTGATCAGGCCAGCAGGAGCTTTTGGGTTGGTCCCACCCTTTCAGGTTGACAGAAGCAGCTCAGGAACTCCTGGTGAGGGCCAGCCGGCAGCCGTAGCCGTAGGCCTTTTGTGCTCCCTTCATGCTTTCATTTCCTCCACAGGTAACAGGGGTGCACACAGCTTTCTGTATCTTTAACTCTTCTCAAAATCGGATTTCAGAGCTGCCTGTTCTTTCCCATGTTTCTGGTGTCTGGACCACCCATAAGCAGTCCAGCTGGCTTCTCTTGCAGTGTCGTAAAGAGTGATGGTCTAAACAGCTTGTTACTGACACATCTGTTTAAGTGTGTGGTTCCAGCATAGGGGGAAGTAAAAGGCTGAGTCCAGCTAGAAGTGGGTCAGATGACTCATACCAGTCCTCACTCACAGCTACACATGTGGGACAGAAAGAGTTTCATCAGAATGCTCATGAAGAGAGGGAGGAGGGATTGGCATCCTCCTTTTGTAAAGTCGGAGGGAGATGTACATTGTCTCTCCCAAGCCTGTGTTTGTGTCTCCCTTTGAAAAAGAGTTGCTTCCCTAAGGACTTTATCTGTCTACTTTCAAAATAAGTGGAATAAAATTGTACCTGTCTGTTCTACATTGATTATTTATTTATTTTTTTTTTTTTTTTTTAGAAATAAAAGCTTTAGTTACCTTTTTGAATCTCTCAAAGGTTTGATGCAGGAGTGTAGTAGTTCTTCCACATCTGACAAGCCTTAGGGAAATTGTCAGCATGGAGGGGAGGCCATCAGTCAGCATGTGGGTGGCACAGCTGCTACAAATAGTGTGGCTCTTCCAGGTACTAGGAACTGCTGAGGGCTGTGGGAAGGTAGGTGAGGAGGAAGAGGAATGAGTTGTGAGGTCCATTGGAGGTAAGTCAAATCCATGGGACAGCAGGTTTCCTTCCACTCTTGTAGAGGAACTTGCTTTAATCTTCCTGCAACTTTTTGAAAATCATGGTCATTTAAATGGTTTGACCACAATTCTACTGTAGGAGGTAATGGTAAAATAAATAATATAAAAGTCAGGCGTTCAAAACAGAACAGACAGAACAAAACTTGTTTCTTCTTTGAAGGTGAAGATTGAATCCTTTTCACTGAAGTATTTAGTACTTCTCAAAAGCAGTCTTGGGATTACTAAACTGACAAACCCATCCAGAGTAAAAACCCCCCAGTCATTGTATGGGAGTGCCAGGAAAAGAGTAGGCCTTCCTGCATTTCAGGTAGGAGGGAAACTGAGTTTCATTGAAATGTGTTCTTAACAGAATTAAGCTTTAGCTTGACATGATAAACACAATAGCTTGTTTGATGAAGTGGCCATGGGTTTGTTTGCTTTTGTTCCTTCCTGTGATACAATATTCCTTTGTTCAGGGCTGCTACTCTGTAACATATTGCTGCAAAATGTATTTTTGAAATTATACCCAATAGAAGTACTAATTTGTAGCCTAGTGCATTGTGAGAACTGCTGCACAAACTTGAGCAAGCTACAGTTTGTAGAATAGAGTTTGGGAGCTGTAGCAGTTCCAGGTGTGTGTATACGGCATTCCTTTTCCAGGCCAAACATCTGGGGAGACACTCAAGTAATTTTATCCAAACTTGATTTTTTTTAAATCAGGAAGAAGTATGAATCTTGCTTTCTTAGACATTTGAATAACATTACTGATAAAAAGTGTAGTATATGTTTTGATATAGGGATCTTGGTGTACAGAGCATTTCCTGATAAATCTTACTTTCTTTTTAGCAGTATACTATGTAATTGAATATACTTAGATGGTTTTTTTGCTACCATTGTTTGTAAATACTGATCTTCCCCCTTCAATCTAGCAAACATTTCCTGTCTTTTGAATGGAATTAAAATAAACTATTCCTGTTTTTCCCCTATATCCCCGTAGTTTGTGTGTGTCTGCCAGCATTACAGGGAGTAGTATTTTAGTGTGTTTTTACTGAGCAAGTGAGTTTGGAGCATAGTAATTGCTGTGCATCACAAGCTATTCCGTATTTTATTATTTTAGCTGTGAATTATAAGCGTAGTTTAGAAATCATGTTTCAGCCATAGAGGCTGGGGTATTTACTCAGTGTGAATGTTTTCTTCCTTTTTGCTGTCTTCTTTTCACCACTCTATGCCACTTCGGTGTAGAACAAATAAAGGCAGATTTCAGGATGTGTAAGACTTGGTGGCTGATGTATGGTGCTTGACACGCTCAGGCTTCCCCCCTTCCAAGTAGTGTAGTTCAGTCTTCAGTTATGTTTTCAATAGGAATTTTTTGGTTCTGTGTGCTAGTAGACTTATCGATGGAAAAATACTGCTAAATAAATGAGCACAGTTTAAACACTGAATGACTTTCCTAACTTTACTGCAAGGAGCTTATTGCAGCAACAACTGAAATATCCCTGTTTCCCAATTAGCAACGAATCTTTCCTCTTCATGAGACCCTTATTCATGTGTTCTATAAAAGGCACAGCCACTGCTTTCTCTGGAGTTGTTGAGAACTGTGGTGTTAATCCAAATATGATATACGTCCCAGCTGGTCAGTCCTCTTGTTATTTGTAGGGAAAACTCAAAAAATGGCTTCAGCAGGTCAGAACAGTGCTCTTAGAGAAAAAAAAAAAGGGCACACAATGATGGCTGTGTTGCTTTTGATACTATCTTGGAGGAGAGGCAGCATTTCCACATTTGCACAGTGTTGGGCTCACTGTCACATGTGTAGTCAGACAGTTGGAGAGTCTCTTCACTGTATCCCTGAAACAGAGAAGTTTGTTCTGAAGAAAATTCTGCAAGAAAAACGTGCTGATTGTTTTTCCAACCCGTATGTATTGCTTCTGTGCAGTGCTGCCTTAAATTCCATTTAAAAATTAACTCTGAAAAGTTCGTGCAAATACAGTGGTACTCATTTAAACCATGAGAGAAGCATGGTTTATTCTGAACTACTTTTATATTATTGGCATGTGGGCCAGCAATCTAGGAAACATGTTTTCAAACAAACCCTGGAAGACCACTTGAAAATAAAACGTTAATGTAATAGTAATTAAGTGAACCAAAATCCACTGAAGCCAGCTTTCAAGAATGTTTTGAAGATATCTGATGTATCCTTTCCTCTTGACAAAAGAACTGGTTATGATATTTTTATTGTTGGGAAGGATTTGTATTCTGCTTGTAATCGTTCCGAGTTGTAGGGGCAAAGGATCTGCAAAGTCTTATGTTACCAGAGCTCCTATTTTGTAAATAGGGTTGAGGATATTTGCAGAAGGGACTGGGTAGCTCCATGGCTGCTGGTAATCTGAGTTGGTAGTAGTTCACGTTACAGAGCAGAGTCATTCACAAGAGTGAGATGCTGTGATGCACATTTCTAAGGGTGTTGATTCTAGGAGCTTTTGTCAGTCTGCCACGTATTGGATAGTGGTTCGCAATTTTCTGCTGCAGATTTGAATTGAGAGACCTTTGCTCTTTCATACAGTAAGCTCTTAGTTATCAGTAGCCTTGTCAAAGAACACTGTTGCTGAGTAATGCAGCTGATAAAAGATTTGATGGAGGTAACTACCATGAGGTAAGAGATAAACTATCCAATCAGTCGGTTTTCTTGTGGTGGCAGTAAACAGCTTTCGAGCTCTGCTAGTTGAAGTTGCTGCAAGCAATTTCTGCTGTCCCTGATGAAAGGAGGGTGGGTCTTTTGTAAAATGATCAGTCTGAGCAAGAACTGATTCCTTGGCTTGATTTTTCAGGGCATTCGACTGCCTTTCTAGCAGCACAGTAGTTCAGACAACTGGTAACAGAATGTACTTTTTTTTTTTTTGCTTAGACACCTCCAT